ATTTTAGCGCCTTACAAGTGCGGACACTTTTTAGCGCGGACCCGACGTCCATATAATTGTAAGTCAATGATTTTTTTATATCAACTGGACTAAATACAACACGTATACTATACAAAGTACATTTTTCAAATGCCTTTAACTCCGTTTGTAAAAAAAGAAATTCTAAATAAAGCCAGTGTCCCTGTCGCTCGACCTAAGCAAAACGAACGGTATTAGTAGGGGAAAAATTTGAATTCAAGCTGAGGTATGATCGACCCTTAAGAACCCGGATACGATAAACCAATCTACTTGGGCAGCTTTGTATTTTTCGTTTTCTTTTTTTTATTACAGTGACAAATGGAATAAAGAAACTCTTATCGAGTTCTTAGGTTTTCGCGATTGTTACACATAGGAAATGAAACTATTTATTCTGATCTAAATATACGCCATTTGTTTGTTCAAACAAACGAACGAAGTTTTTTGGGCCCTTTATTCTACGCACGCATAACATCGCTGGTTTCGCCGAGCAGATTGTGATAGCTTCGCGATATTTTATAAAACTACCGGTAGTTATTTAGTTTTTACTTCTGTTTAAATTTTAATGATTATGAAAATATTATATTATATAGTTATTTATATTTCATTTATTAAGATTGTTAAATATCACGATATTGTTTTTTTCGTTAAGTTATTTGTAACGCGCTTTGTCTATGCGTACGTTTATTTAGGTCTTTGTATAAACAAAATTTTGCCTATATGCATTGACTTACAATTATATGGACGTCGGGTCCGCGCTAAAAAGTGTCCGCACTTGTAAGGCGCTAAAATTGTATACAGAGCGCGACACTCCGCTTTAGTCTTCATTTGTTCTACTGACAGCGCGATACTGCGATGACATTACAATTTAAATTTCGAATAGGTTGACTTGGGACATTTTTTTTCGTGGTTTTTGTATTAGACCCGTCGTCCATTTATTTGTAAGTCAATGCCTATATGTTTAAGATTATGTGTGTATAAATATTACGAATAGAGCAACACTTTAGGTTTAAAAGTGCCAAGTACCTAGATAATAAGTTATTGTAATATGAGTAAATAAATAAATAAAATAAATTTTACAGGTACTATGGTCACAGCTGACTGAGACGGCAAAGTCTAATATTAATGCAAACCACCCTATTTTTCGCTATAGTTACCAAAGTTATTTATTCGTAATGTTTTCAAAAGTAACTTCCACGAATCTTTCCCAGTAATTTAGTAAGTTCTTCGTTGTTCTTTTTGTTGCTTATCATTATTTTATTACATTAAATGCTGTGTACCTCTGTAATATGTAGACATATTATAAGTAGAATATTAAAGTAAAATTACACCGATATCTAAGAATATATGCACTACTGTTGACTACTCAAAAATCTTATTTTTAAATTGTGACGGATTGTTTGCAAGAACAAACACATGCGAACTTAGATCCGAAAAAAAAATAGATTCATTTCCTAAAAGAAAAACTTGTTCACTTTGTGTTTTGTGTCATGAACATGATTCTCGATAATGATTATAGATATGTTACTCGATTAAACTCTCATTTCAATGTACAAAACGTTACAAGACGTTTGCATGTCAGACAAATCTATTAAATCGAAAATTGGATCAATACACGCTCAGAATAGGAAGTCGTTATATTTACGCAATCGATCGACTGCTCGATTCAACCATTATCGATTGATTCTCTAATGTTATATATATGCAGCTGTTTTTGGCGCTTTCTTTAATTTAAGGTTCTACCGAAGAAACGTTGCTAAATCATATAAAAAAAAACACGAAAGGAGCCTTCCTGCACGACACGTACCATTAATTCGTTTGGCGAACCATGGGCTATAATCGGCGAGTAGTTTTATGTCCATTGGCAAATTCTTCCATCGCGATGGAAGCATAAAAAAAACAATGGAAGTGCCATAAGTCTCAATTACCATCAGAACCGATGTCGCCAAAACTCACACATTTTTAATTTGAAACACTACAAAATCTTGATATTGATTGATCGTAGTTTCAAATTTAAAAAGAAATAACAAATTCTGGATTGTTAATATAATTTAAACTTTACCCTGTTGATATATCGTTAAAAGTTCAATATCATCAATACCCATTATTGCAAGTTACGATGTTTCGATATTATATTGAAATTTCAATCAATGTACCGCCATCTAGCGGTTAATTGCTGAACGACGACGAATTGGAGTTATTAATTTTGTTCTCTAAACAAGAAGCGACCATATTGCAGGGGTATAAGCTTTACTTTCGTTTCTTGCAACAAAAAAATTATTTCAATAAACAGAAAATTTATTTATTAAAATAAGACGTTCCGATGATATGAAATATCACCACGGGTAATAGTTTGCTGCGGCCGTCATTTTTCCACTCCAAAACAGCCAATGAGGCATTTTTCTAGGATTTTAGAGAATTTGCACGAAAGAATGACGCAACCATACCACACAAAGCGAACATGGCGAACTGAGCTCAGATTGGTCTCTCGAGACCTATAGCTGGCATGCGTCAGACACTAACTAACCACTTCTACTGTATTTATTGTTCTGTGTTTTCTACCATCGATACGATAGAAAAAGAAAAGTTGATGAAAAAGCATTTGATGTGTTTTTAACCCACTTAAAAAAAGAAGGTTGTTGTAGTAGTCGCAATTAGATTTGAAGGAAATATTCCACCCCTAAGAGTGGCTAATTAGGGGATTAATCTGGTTTATAAAATTTCAAACACTTTCAATAAAACTTGACAAATAGATCACCACAAATTTTTGAGGTAGATTTTATTCAATAAAAATGTTATAATGATTGCATATTTCATATAACAGCAACTGCTAGTAGAAGTTTGGTTTATAGCATTAATAAAAAGACATACGACTACGAGAAAGCAAGAAAGTAACTTTATTTTCTTAGGTAGAAGAAGGTTTGTCTACCGTTACACTCTCTATTTACCTCAACAGGCTTCCGGCTACAGAAAGCCTATTTACATAAGTGAGAACGTTCCCGCGGTCGATAATCCAAAATATTTTCTTAAAATGATGGTTCCTCACAGGTAGCGTTTTGGCCAAAGGCAGTTTTTGGAAATGACGTTATTTTTCGGGACATAAATCGCGTAGGTATATCTGCTTTTTTTAAAACAGGTCCCTTGGTCACGGTTGACTGAAACGCTGACATGATTAAATTCGAAATAATAATTGTGTAACAATCCGAAAAACTAAGTTTTATTACTTGTTTAAAACAAAATGGCCGTTCATTTATCTTTAATAACAGAAGTTATCTTAAAGATTTGCAACTTGTTTCGTCCAATAATATTGCTTTTTGTCTCAATTGGGACAGTCACCTTCCCTACTTCTGCCGCCAAATAGTAATGTGATATTACTGCTTTTCGGTTTTGAAGGGTAAAGGTGCTTATGAAATTCCAGCCACATGGGACTTTTAAAAAAAATATATAATAGAGACACGCTTACGGGACTTGTCAACTTATATCTCAGAGTGACGGGCGCAATGGCAGTGCCCCTCAGATTTTTGCGATTTA